CACGACGCGCAAAATCACGAAACAATTTATTACATAAGCGACATTGTGTAGTCAGCGTAACATGAAATCTGTGAAATTATAGGCAAGACGTAATTCCGCGAGTTTAGTCGAGTTATCAGGCTGTGGAAAAAATATATCAATAAAGACGGATGTTGTCATGTTCTCTGTATTTTTTCCTTTTTTTTATTTTTATTTTTCCCCCGATTCTTAACAAGATGATCCGAAAACAAATCGAATAATACCAACGCTAATCCGAAATACCAGTTTTACAGCAAAAGTCGCGAACTGATAGTACATGATAAATTGTTTGGAGCAATTGTTATTACGGGCTACGATTATACATAGTATTTTAATTAATGTCTAAAGAGTTAATCGTAATGATATGGTCTTACTGTAACAATAATTAAATTATACTATCTAATTCGTCATCCAGTTAGACAGACTTTTTTAACTTGATAATTAATGAAGTAATTAATAATTAACCGCCTATTTTCTGAACCTATTCCTCCCTTCTTAGAACGAAGTACGAAGAAACAATAATTCTGTCATTTTCCATACAAAAATACTACTGGGCGACGATAAATAAGTATAATTACGCGTTAATAAAGTCAACCAACTGATCCTCGCTCGGTACAATTACAATAGGCATACGATATAAATAAATATAGGTACGCGGTAACAAACATAGATAAAATTTAGTAAACAGTCCTCTTCTTGTATGCTTTAAAAGTTTAAAGCCAACGCATCGGAGCAATATATAACTTGGACGTACATATTCTTTTCGCTTGCTATTCGCTCTAATCCCTCTTGAAAATATTTTTATCGTCGACTATTTGGTTAACATGTAACGATATAACTTCGCCAAAAATATTGTTGCTCCAAACGCGTACCCGCTCTGACGCTACCGACGAAACGTTAGTAATTAATTATGTAATTACTTCATCGATTAATAGAATAATACATCACAAAATGACATGAAAATCTTACAGCCGTTTCTGCCAATCGACCCAACTTTTCGGCTAGAGTCTATCTATGGCATTTTAATACTTGTTCGGATACTTTGCGTATTGTGATTTCCCCGATTGCAAACTGAAAATAGCAAATATTCTCGCGACTAACGCCTAGTACGATCAAGCATCAGTATTTATAAATCTTGTTAGAAAACCACAGAAAAAATCTCACGCGAACTTAGACGACAAAGAAGTGTGATAATCGTATTGGCGAAGTTACAAACCCTTGTTCGATGCTTCGATTATGTTATTATGAACTTCGAAGCATCGTGGATACAATTTTCAGTCCCGAATCACGAGAAACCGAAGGTCCACCTTCGCTAGTCTCCGTTCCAATATAATACGTGTGAATTTTTAACAATAGCTTACAGATCATTTTGCACAGTTCCCACGATGGAATTGGTGATAGAACAAGAATCGAAAATCGTTATTGTATATTTCCCGTTTCATCGATCGACACGCGAAACAGATATATAAGTAGATTTATATCTCGGACATATTTATATATCTGATCGGATATTTCGGTGTTCAATTTCATTAAATTCCCGGAAAAAATAATGAAAACTTCCTTGCCCCAATACTGTCACACAGTGTCGAACAGTAATTTTAATTTTAACTTGGATTGTCAGAAATCCTTGTGAACACGATATTTCTTTCGTTTGAACAAAAAAGTTCTCATTACTTTTCAAGATATTCCAAGAAGGTACCCTTAGTACTCCTAACGTTATCTCCCTCTTCGATTTCCTTAGAATAAACCATTCGGCCTCTGCTGCCTCAAAAATCACCCACGATTCATTCCGAATAAAGTTTAAAAACATTAACGATAGTTATACATCTATCTCTATAATTATTATCTGCCGAGGCTTCTCTCGTTGTTGGACAAGCGAATCGTTCGGAACGGAAGTGCGGGATCGCAATGAAAAGCAACGCGGAAAAAAGAATAAAGGACAAGAGAACAAAGATACTGTAATGATAAATGCCTTTTCCTAGCGATAAATTGATTCCGAAAAATTCGCTGTCCCATCGGTCAACACGACGAACAGGCCAAGATGCTTTAAAAGTTCGTTAGTGTCTTCACCTCTATCAAAGACGCTAAAATTATTCATATATAATCGTTTCCTTTCTTATTATCTGCATCTTCTTTAACAATGTCACTGAGTATTATCTTTTTCTCCTTCGTTATGGCGGTCTCACCGATGTCTTTCATTAACTCTTAACGTTTTCTTAAGTCTTATATTTGTAGGATCTTAACGTTTGCCTCTACCGTCGAATCCCGTTACCTTAAATTATCTTTAAACAAACGTTTACGCGTGACGAATGTTCTTCGTATAATGGAGGATAATGAAGTATTCGTTTGCGAATTCAACGGTGATTTCGTCTAAGCACAGCTACGATTTTAAGTCGAATCGCGTTTCGTTACAACCTCTAGTACATTCACCATTTGTACACTACCGACGTACGATTACGCGAAATCGGATCGAGAACAATTTACTTTATATCTTTGCTTCTTTAATAGTAAAAATATAGCTTCGGAAAAAAGTAATCTGTGCTATCCTTCGAACCTCTATTACACTCACTTTACACGAACAACACGAAATGGATATTGCGACTGTCGAGACGCGATATATCCAGCTAATCGAAGCACGAAGGTTTAAAATCACTGATCAGAAACGTACGTTTGTTAGAGTTAAACATCAGGCAAGGTTTATGTCATGATTCGTAAGAAATAGTAGTTCTTCGAGTTTTTGCCTTAGCGTTTCCAACATTCGGTTATCGTTACGTAAGATTTATGTTAATACTTTGTTCGGAAATATTGATTGATCGAAATCGCTGATTTATGATACAAAGAAGGCGAGTTATGCTGTTTTTCGCTACATTGTGACAGGATTGGCGAAGGCTATACCGGTCCGTTAGAAACAGAAGGTCGCTGTATCCCGACGTTTTACACGTGCGTTCATTAATAGCAAACAGTGTCATGAACCACGTAGCAGTTACTCGGTGAAAGCTCGCAGTCACGCAGAAAAAACTATTCTGCGCAGTGCTCTTATGATGAAAAGGAGCTTATGAAAGATGTTGTATTTGCAGGATAGAGAAGGCATATGGTAATTACGTGTAATTAATCAGAGGACATTCTAGAAACTCTAGCGATAGATGTGGTTGATCTTGGTGCGGAATCGAGATCAATGTCTAGGACGAGAGACGTAACGAATCTTTGTGTAGCAAAGAAGACAGGTGGTGACATCTAGGTAATGAAGTTAGGTGAATAGTGCTATGAAATAAGGCACGACGAGCATCGAATACCACAGGTAAGTAGAATTTAAGTTATCAGTGAGGCACGAGGACCTCCGAGAATGGCATCGTTAGGCAAGAAATCTGCTGCCAAATCAAAATTGGTAGACGAGAGACAATGACTTGTTATTTACAGATATAGCTTACTGTGAAAACAAATGCTTTTATTATTACTATGATGGCCATTCGACGCAGTAGTATGCGAGTCCTATTAAAACAGATGATAGACACTGCATCACTGCCACACATACCTTCATAGCATAAAATACTCTCTGACCATTTGGCACATGCTATAGAAGCTTGGAGTGTACACGCGTCAGAAGCTATAAAGATATACCCTGCTGTAGGCACGGTATCAGTCTACGACTGTACGAGTTTGGTGTTGTTGTGATTGAAAGTGATAACGCAGGCCATACATTTGTATACGTATATTCCGTGAAACTGTCAAATATTTCCTTGCCATGTAATACGGAAATGACCGACGGTACCGAAAATGTAACTGTTCATGGACTTGGATCCTTACCTATACTAAATAGGCATAGACAGCAATTGTTATTCAAATATCAAATCTTGAACCTTATTATCGGTACAACCACTTCCAAGCATTGTATATGGTAAGCTCATAATCGTTGAACATTTTCGAATCCTAATCGCGGATTAGGAAATTGATGAGCTCCGTTTGTAAACACCAAGGTCCAAGGGTCTGTGCGATATCAAGGATCAAGATAAGTATTCTTTTCAAAAGGTCGTGTCTCGAAGAGACAGATCGGAGACTCCCAATCTTCAATTTTAGGCAGGAGATTATCTACGCTGGGTAATTGCATCTAGATTTCAATGCTGTCTTATGTAGATCGATGTAGGTTGATGTAGCAGCATAGCGAGGTAGCAGACTAAACATTCGTCAGAGGGAAAATGGATAATCACAAGTTTAACGGGTTGTATAACACACACACACGCTATATTGCAGGAACCTACGTTATATATTGTATATATGTTATATTTCACGTATATATTTATATATTTTTCAATTCGTATCTTTGATATATTTTGTTGAATTAAATTGCTCAAAGCGAATGTGTGATCCTAAAATTACTATAAACACGCGATTCACGAAAGACCAAGGGAGATTAAAACCTTACGCGTCAATGACATTGCCAACTTGGAAGCAAGGGAGCACGCTAATACGATCCTTTCGACTCGGCTGAACATAATCAATTTCATTACAGCCGAAGTAGCAACGTCTCGATATATCGTCGCAAACGAACGTACCGGGATCTACAACCTCACGAAATTTCAAGTTACATCGTTGTTTTATAGATAGCATATCTGTATCGTTCCAGACATGTGAGATATCGGTAAAATTTGCGCATCACGCCTCCTCGGAGAGAATACAAAAACGATTAAAGTAAAAGAAAGTTGCACGCTTAAGACAAGGTAAGTATTAGCACCCAGGTGATAGGAACATCAAGTCGAAAACTCCGAAAAATAACTATTTTTGTAGAACATAATATAAACCTTGATTTGACACTCGACTCTAACAGATTTACATTTTTGATCGATGATTTCAAAATTTTTTTACCATTAATTGGCTAAACGTCTTGCATTTCGACAGTGACAATCTACTTTGCTATCGAATACATACAACTGTTTACGTAAACGAAAACGAACAGGGCTGGAAAAATATTTAAAAAAAAAAAAGAAAAAAAGAAAAAATGCATACAGAGTGTAAGTGTAAAGGGAATTAATCATCTAAACAATAATACTTCTTGGTTAAGTTCATATACTTGTACGGATTTAACGAACGAAAGTTGGCGATACCTATTAGGCTAGTAAAAAGGAACGTTTCGTAATTTGATGATTCTCTTGGTTGAGATCCAAATATACGCTATACGTGATTAACGATAGGCCAAGAAATAGGTTCACCTAGATTGGTGTTTAGTATGATGTCGGCAACAATATCGTACCTAAAAAATTATGCCATTGTTTATTTTCTTCCTTTGCAACTGAAGTACCAAAATTTACGACCGAAGTGTTATCAGCTAAAGATACAATGATACGTGTACTCGTGCCTGATAGTGATGTTTGCTATTTTCTTTAGAACAAAAAAATGTTAATTTTCGAGCAGTACATTTCCTGTTTATATCGCATCTAAAAGAATGTATGATAATATGTAACGATGCATCGTTAATAACATCGCGAAGCTAATCAAGCAAGAGTCCGATGTGATTACGGTGCCACTGATTCCTGAATCGTCTTAAAAAAGTAATCCTAATCAAAATGTTCTCGCTACTAAGATAAGTGAAACGTTCGATGAAACGATACCTTTGCTATTATGCACCAAACACGTTTTTAACGCTGAACGTTACCTCATTCTCCTGGATCGTCCCACTTTGCTTCCTCTGCTATTCGATCAAAACAATCTGACAGGAACGTGTACTGTGAACAGAACGTTAATAGTTTGACCATAAATAGCGGGTAAAATAGTTTAACTAAATGATAATAATCTATAAGAAAAGAGAAAGAAAAAAGATACATAAGAAACGCGTATAACGTGACAGCGTATATTTAAAACATATCATTCATAGTAAACAGATCGTTAACTGTATGATAAAACATGACGGTACCAATACAACGTTGTACGAGTCATCATAAATCAGCACTGATATTAAAAGGAACGACTGCACTAAGTTTAGAGTGTCACGTTGTATTGAAATTCATGTTTCGCAGAAGAAACGGAAGAAGAAAAAAAATGAAGCACAGAATTCATTACTTACGTAAGGTGTGAAAAGCTTAAGCCAACGCGGTGGACGGTTATCCTGGCGCGTGTACTGAAAGCAGAATGCCATTCCTTCTTCATCTACCTCCCATCTTGTAATGGTGTTCCATTGAAATTCAACGACTTGAGACTCCAAAGTGCCATCTTCCTTTGCCGCGTGTAGCTTAAACGCTGCAGATCCTACAGCGGGAACAACGTGTCCTTCCTTTCGCGAATCGCACGGGCAATGAGGAAACACGATATCACCATAACCGCTCAATTCTTTCGCCAGTTTTAGGTACTGCGAACAAAAGAAGGACAGAGAAAGTGTCACGTGAATGCGAGATCTCTGTAACTTACGAGTATAGGACAAATATTACGAAGATAACATTTCTCATACCTCGTGTTTCCTCGACGCATCTTGTAATGCTTTCAACTGGTATAATCTTTCACCGGCTGTGATGTGTCCTCTGTTAACCTCGTCGACAGTCTGCCAGAAAACCCAAGTTAATGCTTGTTCGCTGAGTGGTCTATTTACATTGAAGAGCCACCTTCTTATTGCCAAACACGTAACACTGGCGGTCGAATAGTTTTGAACGTACAAAGTGTGAGGGTGCTCATGGGGTTGCAATTTCCTTTCTAAGGAACAAACGATATATATTTACCTTTGAAAGAAACCTAGTAGGACGTACAGAACGATTGGATTAGAAAATCCTGATATTACACGTACCGAAATTGTATTCGACGATCTCGAAAAGATAAAAGTATTTCGCCGTTTCCGGGTCCAAGCCCACTCTGCTGCAAACTGCGTCGTATACGTCACTGACAGAAGCAGCTTTAGCAACAGTAACGGTTACAACCTCGCGATCCGGCAGGAGTACTTTTAAATCGACAGCTGGTCCTAGATCTCCGTCTTCTTCGAGTCTATCGGCCAAAAATTCTTGCATGATATCGCTCTCAGCGATTACTCGTACGGCGCAAACCTTTTCCAAGTACTGTTCCAAACCGCGTCTTCTCGCGTCGAGTTGCAGCTCGCTCAATCTACGGAAATATAAGAACATTTACGTATGCAGATACGTTACCACGTGGAATCGAAAAGTCAGTGATAGATATCGTACTGGAATGGCCATTTGCCTGGTAGCTTAGGGAAGTTAAAGCCGATAAATTTCTTCTTCAAGACCATATGCAAGGCAGCGAATTCCCGATAACGCCGAGAGCATAAATGTCGGCCTGCCATGTGAACGTTGAATACCACATAGCGTTCATGCTTCCTCTCGCGAACATGATAATCGGGCACGCTGATAGGTAGGGATCTCTTCTCGCTATAGTCCACCGATGCATAACTGGGAGAAAGTGCATTCGACAAATATAAATGCATGAGAAGTAAGAACGAGGAATATTTGTAGTCACTGTCCGGAAATCTTATTTAATTCTATCGAAGAAACCGTCGCGATGGATGGGAATTTTCTGGTAACACGATATTCGAGATTCGTACCTCAAATCTTCGAACGGCTCGAGCTTTTCCGCTTCCTGCGGCGTCACGGAGATAACAGTCAACGTCAGGACGTCACCACCTGACTTGATCAAATCCACCACCTGTTTGTGGGTGGCTCCTTCGACGTTCACGTTGTTTCTGCAACAAGATCACGAGTTTATGCCTCTGCGAGCCATCTATCGATCCTTTATCGCTTTTACCCTCCAGTGATGGATCTAAATCGCGAGTCGCGGTTCCATCCGCGGCGTCCGCGATTTTCCATCCACTCGTATTGCACCGCGCTTACGTAACACGTCAACATCTTGCCGTTCTACCCGCGTATTCTGTCCGTTTCGCGATATTAAGAACAGGTCGTCAATAACGAAAATTGTCGAGGCTACACTTGCGCGTGAAAAAGAAGGGAATATCAGAGGAATTCCTAGCTTCCTCTGTCCAATAGCTATTCTCCGTTTGGTTCGACTTTCACGACCCACGAAAAGAAATAGGAGGGAAACAGGTGACCAGCCTTGATCAAGTTTCGAATTCCAGACGTGAAAGGACGACTATTATTGGTCGAAAGCGAAGGCACGTCTCTGCTTCGATCCACGATCTACGCTCCAGTCAAGCTTAAACCGTACTTTATACTTGTCCCTATCGGTAACTTGTCCCCCTCTATTTCTCTGCAACTTTATTTCGTTATCTACGATTTCCCAGCAAACGTACATCAGTACGTCTTTCAAACATATTTGCTAATCCCGTCTCGTTAATATTCCTATAATCACGTTTCCTCGATCAATTCAAGAACAATTCGAATTAAAAATTCCGTAACCACGACAAAGCGAATATTTCCCTTTGCAAATTCGGACTCACGGTAAAGCCAAAGTTTCCCCGACTTGATGTAGGAGAAAAAAACTTTCCTCCTTCGCAACTTTGTTCACGCGAGTTGTTCAATGCAAGTATTTTTAATGCGAGATCCTATTTATACAGCAAAACCCTTTTCAAGTATTCCGCGCGTTTGCCCCGGATATCTATCGAAGCAACGGAAAATCGCCTCGTGCCTCTTAGGTGCATGGTGATTTGACTTGCACAGGCAGCAGCAGCAGCAGTGAAATCAATCGAAGGAAACTGCGGCGTTTATTATTGATTAAAAGCGAAAATAGAATTATCGAAACGAAGCTAATGAAGGAAATTCCGTGAGCGGTGATAGACAGTAACGTTAATCTCTCGCGAATTTAATTGTAATTTGCAGATCGACATCCGGTTCGCTGGTCTCGTTAAGATTAGCGCCTCGAAAGAAGAAGAAAAACAGAGAAGAGCTGATTGATTTACGAAGATATATATGGGTTGCGATAAAATTATCGTTTGTTCCTTTATCACGCCCTACTTTCCTTACGACGCAGAGACTAGCCGAAAAAGAATGTCAACCTTGGAAAAATCTAACGTTTAATGGGGCACCAAGAGCGATATAAAATTGGCCGATGAACTTTTCGCTCCTCGCTTCCGGTTAAATCGAGTAAATGATTTTGAACGTTTCATCCGCATTACAAACGTCTGTCTGCCTGGAGACGTATACTAATCGTTGATCGATAATCGACGAGACTTTTAATTAGGGGCACGCGATCGATATTATCTGAGCTACGTTAACGCTTAATCGTACATCGACCTTATCCGAAAAAGAAATAAATCATGGAGATTCGATCGTACATGTTATTCCATTCATTTTCATTGCAAGCTTTTATCTCTCGAGACTTCGATCGACACAGACGCGGGGCGTAATTGACAAGAAAGCTAAGTAAGCAAACAAATCGCAATAAATTTGCCGAATAAACTAAAAGTGCCGCAGATTCGATTATCCGAGAAGCAAAAATAATTCGTTGGATATTTAAATCTCCGATAAATCGATTTTCTCGAATCGCGAATTTCTTATCGTCACGGTCCCCGCGAATTTTTTCGCGGATCCTCTTTGCAGCGCAATTAGATAGCATAAAAAAGGGGGTCACAAGTGAGTGCCGAGTGTACTTGCATTTATCGATAATCTATCAATGTGTCAACCAGACGATGTATTTCAACAGGAGCGAGATAATCTGCTTTCGCGATGAAAACGAGCCGTGTATCTATTAATAAATTATCAAACACGATGTCACAAAAGAATAATGTCATGAACGGAGCGTTACAAAAGACTAATGCATCATGGTGCTTGTTTCGCGAACCGAAACACCGACCTTGAAAAAATCTGCGGTTCCTCGTGTTCTTTATAATTCGACAATTGCGTTCACTATAATCACCGACGTTACATTCACAGAGAAAAGCATCGCGTTGTGGCGAGTATATAATCCGCCATTGAAAATTGAAAATTTGTATTCTTATATTTGCGATTACATCAGCGCGACAGTAAGGGTAATTAACGTTGTACCATCGAGAGATAAGATCTCGTATAATAATAACGAATCATAATCTTTATACAATTTGTGGCTTTAAAAAACAATACAACTATTCGAAGGCAATTACATCGCGAGGGATTGCTATGAGAACGCGTGTAATTATGACTCTGCCTTACAAAAGATTTTGTAAATCGTTAAACGTATCTTTATAATAAATCGTCTGCGGCGTGAATATGCAATGGGAATGAAAGAAATAATTACCTCGATAACTGTTATAATGAAAAAAACATTATTCGAGGTATCGGTAACAATTGCGGATTTCCGTCTGACCTTTCCAAGTTAGCGGTCGCTGCGTATATAAGGCTTGCGGGCTCACGGTGGGAGGCCATTTGTCTGTCTGACATCGTACCGACCAGATTTAAAAAGTAATTAAAAATGACTCCGAGCTTCGTCTAGTCGAGAGTCAACGAACCAGCGCGATTTAAAAGTCAGGTGTAACGAAACAAGATAAAATTCTCGATTAAAACGCCTGAATCTTAAAGAACCAGCCGCATTTCCCGGTACCGGCGCGCGAGATTTTAGCCCCCTTTATTAAATTAAATTGTCAGCGAGGCTGTGAATATATAAACAAAATAAGCAAACTCGGAAGACTGGTTAGGCAAACATAGTGCTTCCTCTTTCCAGTTATTCATTCATGTAATTATAGCAGCGACATCGGTTTAGATATGATTAGTAGTAAAGCTAATTATAGTTACAAATGATACAGGTGAGAAGATAGCAACAACAATACCGCAGGTTTTAGCGGTAACGAGGTATTTCTTCGATTGGCAAAATAAACGTAGGTCATTTCTCGAAACGAGCAAGTTTACGGGCTAACTGTTGGCGAATTTTCATTTGTTGTTATTTATGTATACCTTGACAGCTGATTCATTCTTATCTATAACACTGCACTCGTTTAGCCGTTATATCGTTCAGCGTTACTCTAGAATACCGTTTAAAGGCTCGTAATTTCCTTCTTTACCTTTTTCTCTTTTTTTTTCCAAGCACGTAATTACGTCGAAGAAACACCCGTTTCGCTCTAATTTAATATCGTGTCCTTGGTGGGTAAAAAGTCCATCCACGAGATTGTCGTGCGTACGTCTAACCACTTGTTAGAAGCCGTACAAGTGACAAATCTCTTAGGAACAGCGATGCTATGTAAAGCTGGCGTATCGAAGACGAGAACGGAATTTCTAAATCGTCCATGCTTTATTTTCCATAATTCCAGTATTTTGTTACGAATGCCAAGTTTACGGGCAAACGTAGGATTCTTTAACGTTATGGAAGCTGTTCCTTTTATAGGTTTTACTTTCTGCTCTAATTACCGTCATTGTTGCGTCTCGTGTAAAGAGTAAAGGAATCTTTACAGATAGTTGGTGTACGCGATTAACGTCCGATTACACGAGATGGTTCGGCCAAGTTACGGTGACCTATTGCGCATGTACCAGACACGATAAATTAAATAATAAATCGCTATGTACTTTTTCCCTACGGCAATGACTTTTACGTCTGTTCGGACAAACCCGGAGCTACCGAACAATCGACTCGCGATCAAAACGATTTCACCCGTTTGTTTTCGATGACGATCACGAGAATAACATTAGCAAACGAGCCTGCGGTACCGTTAAACGTTCAACGAAGTCATTAGAACGCGTGTCTCGCTATTTTTTGTTCCGCTCCGTGATTACACCGTTAATTACCTAACAACTGGTGAATTAATTCGAAAGCTGCCAAAGCGTTTTTGCACATGTTTTCCAAGCCGCCGGTGTCTAAATTTATCTCCAATTTAAATCACACGCGATAAAGGTATCGCGTGGAATTGCAATTTTTGTTATTTTTCACGTCTCAATAGAATCGTAACGACAACTGTTGCAGTTGAACATTGTCTCGTCGAACGTCCCGTTCGTCTCGAAATAAAAATAATCTGTCAGATCTTGGATTTGGAATGGAAAAGAAGCGGCATGGTCTACGTCTAACCGATTCCTTTTGCCTCGTCGCTTTTGATTGGTTCGTCGTGCGTACACAGGGGGTCAGAAATTGCATTTGCATTGGACAGCTAGCAAATGGCACGGATATCGCGTAAATATAGACTGGAGTAGGAATCGGTCGATCGGTCGACGAAGAAAATTGATTTCGCTGTCGCGGTTAATGTCCGTGTTACGAAAAAGTGTGACACGATGTTCGGATAAATTATCGAAAGCTTCGCGGAAACCTGGTTACGAATGCAGTCGCGGGTATTGCGAAAATGAGCGGCGAAAGATCGAGACGATATAACGCGTTGCGTGATCGATGGCGGAAAAAGATGAGGAAAAGCGTGGATCGGATGCACGGTGTTACAAGTACGAATACGAAGTCAGATGAGACGGTGTAATAAAGCGAACGTTATCCGAATTATCTGCCGAAGCACGATGAATAGGTCGTGACACGTGTTCGCGGTTTGTTAGCGCGATATTAAACCGATCGATCGAAAGAGGAGAGATATTGTCTGATAAATGATCGGCGATTCGACGTACGACGAGCGTCTTCTAGCCATAACTTTCTCGTTAAAACGGCTATTAAAAATTCCCTTTCAACGACACGGGGAGCACGAGGAATTTTATTCGATTCGGTTTCGGATTCGTCTGGATTGTATCGAAATGTATTCCGGTGACAGACGATAATGAGAGATCGTGAATGGAAGGAACGTGACGCTGAATTTATCACGCTGATAACGAATGTACAGCTTTTTTCCAAGCGATTTACATTCCAAACAAATTGTCGCGTGTAATTGCTGTTTACACGTGTAATTAACGTAATTAATACAACGAAAACAGAGTCATAGGGTATCGCAATTTTTCAATCGCTGAATACATCACTGTTTCCCGAGCAAATCGGATCGGATGCTCGAAACGCGAAGACGTGGAAACGAAAATGAAATGTAATTACCCCGGTAAGCGGTAATTTCGCGGTATCGCGTCGATAAAGCGTGCTTTTCGTTCGGGAATTCGCCATTTCGTAACGCAAATCACGATTTAAACACATCGCGAGTGTCAGCGCGAGAATGAGGCAGTGCGTTCTTTTTTTATTTACAAACGCAACGCTGTATCGTATTTCAGCCACAGCATGGAAACGCACTGCGAACATTTCCGAGATCGTTGATCCGCTCTAACGTCTTTATTCCCATCGCTACGAACGAATTTAATTTCTTCGGTTACAAGTTTTCGCGTAAAAACGCAAGCAACATCGCACGGAATTACCATTCGATGGTACTGTACGTCTACTCGCAAAGTCTAAGGCGTGTACGTTTGTCTTTTCGTGCCGTTACTTCTGTTACATCGATACGACGATTACGTTCCCAAACATATTTCCACGCTGGAAAATCGAATGGGAAACGCGTGCTCGAGAGCTAGCGGGATTTTTCCTTTCCGACAGAAACTGCCTCGACGTACACATACGTATGATATTTATTCCTTCGAAAGGTGTAGATCGCTTGGATCGTTGGACAGAGAAGAAAGACAGACAAAGCAAAAGCATCGAGTGAAACGAAACGGTTGTACATAGAATCGCATTCTTGGTTAATGGTAAAATGGTAGAGCGAACAGGTGAAATGTAAAGTCTGGCAAGAAACCATTATCTTTTCCGTATTATTAGATATTACGTCTAACCAGCAAAATCGATTAAAACGAGCGTCATATTATCGCGGTGGTATCGATAAAGCAAACAGCAAGTTGATTATCGAATGTAAAGCGAATAACGCTTTCAGCGCGTAGCACGTTACATTTCGCGTAGCAGACAGATCCGGATCGTTGTGTATATTTCGTTTCGGACGGGTTACTCGAGCCTCTATCCCCGGTGAATCGCGAGTATTGGACGAGAAATTCCCTTGCCTCTCGGACGAGATAAGAGTATATATCGCGGTTTGAGATGAAAACAAACGAAGAGAAATGTTACTCACACTTCCAGTATGCGATCGCCTTTCCGTACACCGGCTTTCTCAGCAGCACCTCGAGGTAATACAGCACTGACATGCTGAAGCGGCGCGTACAGTTCTCCGTTGATGCTTCTCAGTTGTCCACCCTCGCTGACCTGACCGCGTACATTGAACCCAAAACCAGTCTCGGTTTTGAAAATCGTGACGCATCTCGGTCCCTGTCCGATTGGATTTGTCTGGTTCACCGGGTGCTGAGGCACGCGTCCGTTGGTGATCATCGTCACGTTCGCGTTTCTCGTTACGTCTTCGTTCGCGGCTGGCAAGCGCTGCACCTCCGACTCGCAGTCCGCCATCTTATTCTCTGACCGCCCATTGATCTTTCTCTCATACGGGAATCCGCCGCAAGACTGCGCCTGTGTAGCCGTCTCGCTTTTCTCTTTCTGTTTCCCCCTCTCTAGACCTCCTTCTTTCTTCCGTGCCAGTGAATCCAGCAGTGGCCGTCAGAGGGCCATCTTTAAAATCAGCTGTTACCGCCAACGTTAACGTTCTCCTCGGAATTCAGATATGACGTTACCGTTACCTTTCCGTTTATCCTTCGCACCATCGCAGATATATCACGAGTGTGTCGCGTCGTAAAATGCATAGATCGGATTCTCCAATTAACATGCGTGTAATGTTGCACGCACTTTGCGCTTTTCGATAATCCGATGCCAGGGCGGTAACGTTGGACCCTGAAACATGACTCGATCCGGAATGAAAAAAACCGAGATCGTATATTGTTCGTTTTCGCAATTATTAGCAAAAATATCTCGCAAATGCAACGTTTCGAATGACAAAACGCGAAATGTTATTTTTCGAAATTGCGACGTATAGCGCGAGATATTGGAAACAATGCGCATGCGTGACACTTCTAACCCCGTTACGAAATAATTGGGATTTCACGTGTGCTTGGGAATTTCGAAAGATCGAAAACGTGAATTTCTATTCTCGGGATTTTAGAAGCGATGGAAACATAAAGACGAATACCATTTATGTCTGCAATATATTAAATAATTATTAGATACATTTATGTGCGATAGTTGCTTTAAAGTCACGTTATTCGTATGTACAATTTTTCGTTCCCACTCTTAATTTAAATCTTTGTTGTTCGTAATATCTCAGTACGCTTTACTTCTTACGGTTGAAATCGGTCGAATAAACGGCAAGGATTTACGTTTAATTTCATTCACAAAATAATCACCACTTCGATATTCATACTTTTGCTACAATTGTTTCTTTCCACTTCACGTCTACTTTGCTTTTTTTCCCTTCTCCTTTATCGTATAAAAACGGGGCGAATATTCAGTTGGATGATAATTCGTCATCAATTTTGCGAAACGGTATTTCAGAGATGTGTATCGTCAATGGAATTCCTCAAGTTCGATTTCGAGAGACGAATCGATAGGATTGAAATAAGTTACTAACAGCGAACGAAATAGCTTAAATTTTACAGGAATGAGAGTTACCGAACAAAGTGTAGAGAAAATACTGATTGCACGAAAAGGGCTGACGTTGAGAATATAAAATTATGGATTGTAATACTGTTGAATCGGTTAGTTTAATCTATCTATATCCTCAGTTTCCGATAATGCGCAAGAGAAATTATTCTAGGGGGTTTCGAGTATACGTTACTCGTGTGAGTGTCTTACAAAAACTTTGGTACCTGTTCCGGTGGTTTCTTTCCGTTTCGTTTGCGCATTTATCTCCGTTTACCGATACACATCTGAGGATATTATGAAATAGACACACATAAATTACTATAAAATCACACGTTACATCCACACTTAATTAGAAAGAAAGAGAGCGAGAGAGAAACAACGAAAACATCGAATCGGAATTTTCTTTCGCATCAAAGAAAATCGAAACTCGATAAAACCTCCGTATTCACAGACTGCACTCGTTTGCAGATAAAAAGCGAATAAAAAAGAGAGAAACTTTGAACGAAAGAAAATGTACACTTTGGCACAGTGTATATTCGTAATGTGATATTACCACGTATGCCACGAATATCTCTTTTTATCTCGACGAAACGAAATCGTGCAATTAAAAATTTCGTGCTTTTCCTAACTTAGCGGTTCATTTACTACCGACATTATGCAACTCTCTTTTCCTCCTTTCTTTACATTTAACAGCAGGTTCTTAGAAAGTGAAACCCTGAGAACATGGAGGTTTAAGTGAACCTTAAGACTTCGTGATAGTATGTGCGTATATGTACATCGTATGAATACTTTAAGATAATCTTTTTAATAAATATGTATATAATATAAAAGGGCATTGTGAACTAATTACAAACGTTAGAGAAATATAATATAATATAATATAATATAATATAATATAATATAATAATAATAATAATAATAATAATAATAATAGTAGTAG